AATACGGTAACATAGAAACTAATATACATTTTCTTATCACTTGGATTTCTAAGACAGAAATTTTTTCTAATTTATAATATATTAACCTTGCTCCAAAAGAAGTGTCCTCTCTATTTTCAAAAAAAGTATTATAACATTTATCGAAACAATCTTTACAAATATGAACTAGCTTTTTCTAATTCAAAACTTCTTTATCTGGTTCTAAAAATAAGTATGAAATCTCTATTAGAACCAACTCATTTGCTTTCATATCTAATTTCAATAAAACCTAGAGGTCAGATTTTTTCTTTAAATTAATAGAACCTATCTGATTTTTTCTACTTTGTAAAGATTTGCTTATCTGTTCAGACTATACTTGTTTTAGAGGCCATTTAGAGTATATAAAAAGCAGATCTAGTACTTTGAATACCGCATGAATTATATAAGAATTCTTGCTATAATTTTTCTGTTAGTGATAGCCTACAACTCCAAATACGATACCTAAAGTTAAAAAATAGTAAGTTATTACCAATATGAGAATACTTGCGATTTCATATTAACTTACAATCTTTCTAATAAATCAAAAGTTGTTATTAGAATGTGTTTAGTTCTGAGTGTTATCTCTCTATAGGGAAAGCTTATAGGTCACATTAAAGCCAGATCAAAATCAGTTCTTAGTTCGCTATATAAACTTACAAATTTATCTAACATTGAACTGATTTGGTTAAAAAATTCATTATTACAGAATGAATGCCTTGATAAAATTTGTTTCATTTCTAAAGTTAATAGCTTCATAAATATGTTTTCATTCTCTATAAGATCGATTACTTCCGATGCTATTAGAATCTCTGGTTCTATAGTTTCCAAATCTAAGTATTGCAAAATGTTAAATAGTTCAGTATATGCATTTAAGCTTTCTTTCAAGTATTCTCCATGTATTTTAGCATTCTAAATAATTAATTTTTTATTAGAAAGACTAGCAATATTAATATTTGAACTAAAAATTCTAATATAATAATTATTTACATATCTACTTATTATCTCTTAAATTGTAATACAGACAAATTTGCTTGCGTTTATTTTTTTAAACTCTAATTTTTTAATAAAATCTTAAATATTA